AAGGGTCTGCATTTCTAACGAGCTCTCAGGGGATGTTGATGCTGTAGTCCAGGGACCACACTCTGAGTGACAAGGTCCTGGATGACGGAGTGGGCTGGTAGAGGTATTTACAGACAAAAAATGTTCACATTCTACATCTGTGAGGCTGAACTGTTTCTTACTTAAACAAGATAACAACAAATAGATGTGTATTGCTCTTTTACGTTCACAAATTATGTCAGATAATAAAGGAGTGCTGGGCAGCTGGATCTTCTGTGAAAGGTCACAGTGCCCACCAGCTCCTCATGTACTCCAGGACTCCCCACGGACCTGCCCCTGGACTGGATGATGCAGCCACTGTGTGACTAGTTTGACACGGCTTACGTCCAGCCCTCCCTCTGCTCCCTTCAGGTTCCTGTTCAGGTTCCTCAGGCAGGAGGCCACACGCCAGCAGCAGGAAACTCTCTCATGCTAATTTATTCCAGACCTCTGCTGCCTCTGGCCATTGTGCATTAGAGTCTTTTCACAAATGTTATTATAGTAATTCTGACTCAACTAGAACATTCGGATTGACATTTTAAATATTTCATATTTATAGCCCCTTTACAAAGGGATTTAGCAATGTCCAAAAGGCATATAGGCACTTACACTTTGAACCAGCAGTCCCACCCGGGAGGACTCTTCCCTGAGGCTACCCATCTGTGGTAGACAGCATAATGGTGCCCCAAAGATGTCCATGTCTTAATCCCCATAACCTGTGAATATGGTACCCTACATGGCAAAAGGGACTTCACTGTTGTGACTAAATTGAGGTTACCCTGTGTTAATTAGGTGGGTTCAAGGTAATGATCCAAGGGTCCTTAAAGTAGAAGAGAGATCAGAATAATGCAATGTTCTCCACCCACCATTGCTGGCTGTGAAAATGGAGGAAGGGGAACAGGAACCAAGGAAAGTCGGTGTGTCTAGAAGCTGGAAAAGGCAAGGAAGGGAGCTCCCCCCCTGGAGCCTCCACAAGGAACACAGCCCTGCTGATGCCTCGGTTTCAGACCAGTGTGACCTGTTTTAGACTTCTGACCTCCAGAACTATAAGATAATAAATCTGTGTTGCTGTAAGCCACTAAGTTTGTGGTACTTTGTCAGAGCAGCAACAGAAAACAAATACACCTTCCACCAATATGAGACAGCACATGCATCAGGCCATCACTGTGGTTTTATATGTAAAAACTGAAGACTGGAAACAGCCTAAACATCCATCATTAGGAACCAGCAGAACAGATACAGTGCCAGGCTCTCCAGCTGTGAAAAAGAATAAGGAAACTCTCTATACTTAGCAGGACATACTTTCAAGTTGGAAAAAGCAAGATACAGAACACTATGTGTAGTACTTTATCTTTCAAGTAGGAAGAAAAGAGAAATAAGAATACACATACATTCTTTTTTGTAAAGAGAAACACTATAAGGATAGGCTAGAAATAAAGTAATTAAAATAATTACTTAAGGGTTGTGGGATGAAAAAGCTAGGGAGGGAAGTAGTATGTCTCTGAGAATACATTATTTTAATATATCATTTTGATTTGGGGGCCAAGTAAATGTTTTACATACTCCAAATATAAAATTAACATCTTAATACAAATTAAAATAAAATGAAAATATTCCTACGTTTAATTTTAATAGTTTTCTGCCTATAGTTTACATTCTGAAACCATTCCTAGACTTAACTCTGCTCCTAATGGAATTCTATCCCCATGCAAAATACTCAAGATCAAGAAACTGTTTCCTGACAGAACTGTCAAAATCATAGCTTGCTGGTGGGTTAAGACTGACCTTTTCTGCTGATTTTGCTGTTTCTTAAATCATTACTGACATTATGGACCTGACTGACAGGCTAGAGGACATGGTACACGACTTACAGAGCAAATTAGAGAAAACCAATTTCACAGCGCTAGCAATAGCGCCATCTGGTGACGAAACCTAAGGCTATGACTTCAAAATGGCAATACAGATTCTTTTTGAAGTGTTGCACTGCACTCTTATACTGAATTATACTATATATGAGGGGAAAAGCAACCAGAAATGGTTGGTAGTAAGACCTTATCAACGCCTGTGTGAAACAGGTGTTACTCTTGGTACAAGATACTGATATACTGCATTCAAAAATGCATTTAGCTTGCACAAAATCTTTATCGAAACTTCAAGCAAAAAGAAATAATCTTGAAAAAATTTATCTTTAGTGTCAATTACAGACATGCTAAATCTATTGTCTTATTTTTTAAATCCATATTATAAAATGCAGCCAGTTTCAGTTTAAACAAACAAACAAACGTCCAGGATGGTTTATAAGTTTATTTCTGATTATCCGAGTTCCTGAGAGTGGGCGGATGGAAACCATTTGCACATCCCAGCCGGGAGGGGTGGGGGTTGAATTACTGAATGAAATGCACCTTATTTCTTTTTCATCCTTTTTTCCAGTACTGGCCAATGAATGAAATTATTTCCTTGCTCAATTCTTATAAAAAAAACAGGAGAAAAAGAAACATCTTTTCCTTTAAAATGACGATTTACATATTAAATTAAAGTGAGGCAATTAAGCAATTTGGAGTAGAAATAAATTTGCTTCTAAAAATCTTAAAGTAATCGTCATACAAGTACTAGTTGGATAATTGCTTCAATTGTGCCAGCACCCAAGTTGCTCTGAGACAGATCAATTAGATTCAAAAGAAATTTGTTGAGCTCCTACTATGTGCCCTGCACGAGCCTGACTGAGGTATTGAGAGGACTAGTGGAGGTGCCTAAGACACAGGGAAGCTTCTTAAAAGTTCTCTGGAGAGTTTGCAGTTAGTGGTGTGAAGGGCAGAGCCGTGGCTGCAGGAGGGCAAAAACAGACAGATGTGCAAAAACCTGGGAGGAAAACAGAAAGGATATTGATAAAAGAAGGAGGAAGAAAAGTTGTGGAAATGCACGGGCAACTCTTCCCTAAGCAAAAGCAGAGGACGCAGGTATTTTATCTTACGAGTACTGAGCCAGAAATGAGGGCACCGCTCAGGAATTACCGTCTCTCCTGGCGTCCGCGATCACCTTTGCCGCGGACTTGCTCATCACGTGCACGACGTAGAGGGGGCAGTTCACGGCGCTGGCTATGGTGATGGCTCTCAGCGTGGCTTCCGCCTCCACCGCTTCCGGGCGGCACAGCTCGTGGCCCTCGGGACCTGTGATCCCCAGTGCCAGCATCTTCTTCGCTCCCTAAACAGGCAACAGCAACATACACCCGTGTGAGAAAGGTTTACTAATGACAAACCTCATAATTCTGTTGTGAAATGAATACACTGTCAGGCTTTTATTTCAGGTCTAACAGGTAGCAGTGTGTGTGTGTGAACATGTGTGTATACACAGTGTATGTATTTGGTAAAAATAATTCAATACCCTGATAGCATATGTTAATTTTTCATACACAGATTTCACGATAAAGTTATTTTGACTGAAACGGTGAGAAAGATAGGTCTGTTCTAATCACATTCTTTGAAGAGCAGTGCCCACAATTAAGACTTATTATTGGTTCATAGCAAACAAAGGAAGGCAAAAGATTCTAGTCCCCGTATTAGATCTTTGTTGAAGTGACTCATGGTATCATGCAGTTAGTTCTACTTTTTACTGATTCATACTCTTCACTGCCCTCTCCCCCAACCCATGGAATGATATTAGACCAGTTATTTCCCCTCTCCAAAAATGTTATTTCTTCCTTACAAAAAGGAAAGTCAAGACTCAGAGGGTCAGAATGATTTGCCCAGTGTCTCCCAGCTGGGAAGTGGAAGAGTCCAGTTTAAACCCCAGTCTGTCCAGTTTACAGCTCATGCTCTCCCGCTGTGACCCCCACCCCCACCCCACCGCGGCCTCCTGGCCACGGGGCCTCCATCTCACTGACTGTAATGGGAACTGAGCCCAGGGAGAGAGAAAGATCAGCTAATACACAGGGTAAGAGACAGCTCTCTAAATCTTGCAGGGCTGTACCCTTTGGGCATTAATTATGGAGCTAACATGAGAGATAAATATTATCTAGGTTCCTCCAGAGCACCTTTTAATACCCAGTGTCTGAAAAGAGTGAGGCTTTAAGCAGCTACCTAACGTACTGCTTAAGTCATCAGACTACACTGATGCCTACACTTTGGCATTCTGAACCAGTAGCTAAGCTACTTAAATTTAAATTAAAAAGGGGGGCTGCTGGGGACACACACACAAAATTGTGTTTTTAGAATAAATCTTGCTTGAGATCTAATAGCTGGTTTGAAAAAGGGAACTCCTCATTCAAATGCACACAATCACCGAAAAAAACAGAGCAGGGAAGCAGGTCATTCGAGTCAAACGTTTCCAAGCCATGGAAAATCAGTTTCTGAATTTCCATTCTTCCAATCCGTTACATGAATTTACCTACTTGGGGTCAATCATCTTCACCTTAAGTTATGGCCATTGTCACTTCTGTGGAAGCTCTGCAAGGCAACTGCTTACCTCTGCAATTAGGTCTCCATTTTCTGCGTGAACTTGAGCAATTGCGCCAATTTCCTTGCACCGAGAGAAGGCCGCGTACAGCTCCATATCTCTCACCATGTACAGATCTTTGTAGGCCATAAACATCTTGAAAGAGTTCACACCTTTATCTTGGGTAAGGATTTTCATTTCTTCTTTAACCTAAAAGGGCACAAGAACCACAACAAAATGTCACTCTTTAAAGACAGTATCAGCATTCTCCAAAATGTTGCACTCAGAAGAAAACGAAGTAAAATAGGGACATCAGCTGAAGTCCAGAATAATGTCATTAAGGCCGCGATCTTTCCCCTAGGTTAGACCTCGTTTCATCAGGTGAACTGCTGTTGCTACGATACTTTTAAATCATGAGAGAGTTAGTAGTTTCCCCCGCCAAATACTTCATTTCTATACTGAGATAGGAAATTCTCAGCATCTCTCTCTAGAGGGGAAGAAATTATTCTAGAACATGAAAACAAAGCCATTTGGCAGTAACAGAAGCAATCACGTCTCTAAAAGGAATCAAAGTTTTTGTGAAGTAAGGGTTTGGGCTCAAATCTGAAACCCACAGGAAGAGTTTGGAGACAGAGGAAGGAGAAGATGTAGACTGACCCACTGGCAGCTCCTGGAAAGTGAGAGACTTGGACCAGTCAGAATCCTCAGGAGCTGTCTGGGTTGCAACTAAAAGGTTCTGATAATAATTCCAATGTGTGGGTGACTGGAGGGTGCAGGGGTGGTTCCCCTACACCGCCAGGCAGTACTCCTGACACCAGCCAGGTGTCCTATAATGCAACTCGAGTTTGACACTGTCTCCCAGGAGACTGCACCAGGTTCTACAGGTTAAGGGTTCAGTCCTGTGGGGCGTCCAGGTTGTTACCAAAATCAGAGGTTCCCACAACCCCTTTCTCAGGTTCCATTAATTTGCTAGGGCAGCTCATAGTACTCAGAAAAGCATTTTACTTCCTGGATTACTGGTTTATAAAAGGATATAATAAAGGATACAGACGAACATCTGGATGGAAGAGATGAGTCACAGGATATGGAGAAAGGGCACGAAGTGTCAGTGCCCTCACTGAGAGCACCACCCTCCCCTGAATTTCCACTCAGTCACCATCCTGGATGCCCTCCAAATCCTACTCTTTTAGGTTTTTGTGGAGGCTTCATTACACAGCCATGGGCAATTGATCCAACCTCCAGCCCCTCCTCCCTCCCTGAAGGTCAGTTGGGTAAGACTGAAATTTTCAACCCTCTAATCACACAGTTGGCTCCTGGGTCAACCAGCTCCCATCCTTAGGGTCCAAAAGTCACCTCTTTAACGTAATAAAAGACACCTTTGTTGCTCTCATCACTCAGGAAATTCTGAGGGTTTTAGGAGCTCTGTGCCAGAAATGGGGACAAAGACCAAACATATATTTCTTATTATAATTCATAATATCACACCAGTGGTAAGGGCAAGTTAAGATGAAGACCAGCTTAGTAATTGCCCTTGAGGTCCAATTCTAGTCTCAACAACGACTACCAACTTCAATGGAAAAGCCAGAGGATTTGACCAAATAAAAAACTGCTTGAATTTCTACATGTTAAAATACACACACAAATTAAAAAAACATATAAATATAAAATAAAATATAAAACAAAAATATATAACAAAACATAAAATATATAACCGGCATAGGAGTATTGCTCTTAGTTATAAAACATAAATGAGTTATTGCTGTTTTATCTTGAAAAGAAAAACCCTAACATTCCAAGTAAAAATGTTATTTACAGTTCAGACAGTAAATACAAATGACTAATACACATGGAAAAAAATGTTAACCCTCCTGCTGATTAAAAAGGGCAAAATAAAACAATGCGATTTCTCCTACTGAATCAGCAAAGTTTAAAAATGACACTACCATATGCTAAGTTACTCGCTTCTGTCACTATTTATTTCCTTACTAATTCTCCTTACTTTTCTTCTTGGTGCCTTATCACCTGGCATGTAACATATTTACTTGTTGATGGCTTGCCTGCCCAGTAGACTTTCAGCCCCATGGGAGCAGGGGATTTGTCCTAGAACGGTACCTGGTGCGTCGTGGCCCCTCAATAACTATTTGTTGAATGAATAAATGAATGAATGAATATATATAGGAAAAGGAACAGAAAAAAACATCAAAATGTTGAGAATGGTCATTACTGACATGATGGAGTAAGTGCCAAAATAACGCCGGGTCACAACAGCAAGCGTAGAACTTGGTATAGTGCGCCTCGTTTCTTTAAAGTTCTCTGTAAGTTCAGATTTTCTACCGTGAGCCTATTATTTTTATCGTCAGAAAAAAATGCTTCAAACATGGTTAGACTATTCACATGATGGGATTCCCAACGTGAATTCTGATCTGCGTTGCTCCGATGAAACACCTGTTGCTGCCTGAGTAGAAGATCCTTTCTGAAGGTGGCCTCATGAAACACCCCTGTCACCCACATCCTTACGCACGGTAAGTCCCACTAGCCTCCTCTCTGGCGAAGTAGGTTAAGCCTTGCTGTTCCGAAAGTGCGGGAGCTGAACCAGGACGTCAGCATCACCCGGGAGCTGGCTAGAGATGCAGAACCTCAAGCCCTGCCCCAGACAGTGTGCCCCCCAAATTCATATGTTGAAGTCCTAAACCCCAGTATGAAATGGGACCTTATTTGTGTAAAAAGTAATAATAAACAGAACCTCAAGAAAGTAGAGTCGGGAGACCAGCAGGGGGAGCTCTCACACCCTGCATCCACAGTCCAGCCCAAGAGGAAGAAGAGACTCCTCTCCTTTCCTGGCAAGGATTCAGTCAGTAAGAAATCATGGACTCGGTTTACTACAGCCCTCCCAACTTCCCTTCCCCTCTACGCAAGCCTTCTCCTTCCCTTGCCGTGTGGGAACTTGCACATGGCTCACCATGGTTGCAGACCCTGAGCTGCAATTCTCTGCTGGTCCCGAATAAACCCATCTTTGCTGGAGAAATATTTGGCAGTCTATTTGTTTCAGATCAATATTTGGAAACAGGGACACTGCAGATGTAATTAATTAAGATGAGCTCATTAGCATGGACTAGAATTCAGTATGACTGGTGTCTTTATAAAAGGGGGAGATTTGGACACAGACATACACACAGGAGAACACCCCGTGAAGACGGAAGGAGAGATTGGGGTGATGCTTCTACAAATCAAGGAACACCAGAGGCTATCAGCAAACCACCAGCATCTGTGAGAGGCCTAACAGGTATTTCTCCTCCACTCTGTCAGCAGGAGCCAGCACCCTGGCCTCAGACTTTTAGCCTCCAGAACTGTGAGATGACACATTTCTATTGTTTAAGCCCCACCCCCGAGTCTGTAGTTCTTTGTTACAGCAGCCCTAGCAAACAGATACACTTCCTGAACATAATCTGTATTTGAACAATACTCACCAGGCCATCATTTGCACATTAAAGTGTGAGAAACACTGGTAAGTGCAGTATCTTCACCTCTGCTCTTTTTATAGAATAAGCAAGGGAGGAAGGGAGGAAGAAAGAAGGGAGAGAGAGAGGAAAGATGGGAGGGAGGGAAGAAGGCAGGCAGGAAGCCCCTAGAAGTGATCAGAGGCCTCATTTAGAATGACATTTCTGGAGAAAAGTTAACTTTTTCTGTGGACTATGAACCTTGCTATTACATTTGCTGAATTATCTGTTAAAGATTGATTACTTGTTTTATATTAACTTGGTGTCCAAAGCCCAATTTTTAGGGGGAAGCAGGGACACAAGTTACATGGTAAATTCCAATAAAGTCACTCCTGTGAGCCCTTTCTGGCAAAAAAAAAAAAAATTCTGAATTAGGTTCAATGTGGAAAAACATGTTATTTAAATCACAAGTAAAAATTTCTTCCAAAGTACACATACATGTTTTCATGGGAAGAAATAAACGTATTTAAACATCTCTCAAAACTCTTTTCTATCCGCATCATGTTATCATTTCTGCCATGGCCTCAATACTCAGAGATCTGGAAGGCTGCCGAAGCTCTGTTCTGGAATGACTCACCCAGGTGTTGCTCTCAGCAGAGCAGTGCTGGAAGCCCTCGGGGTTAGCACACAGCTGGGAGAAGGCCTTGAAAACATGCCTGGCCTGTCCCTTCTTGGTTTTTCTCCAGATATTAAAAATATTTCTAACTGAAGTTCTAATCGGTGGGAAAAGACTGCTTAAAAGTGTCTGGAGATGTTGAAGTTGAGAAGTTCAGTACTTTTAAAAATTACATTGAAAGGGGTGGAAACAGCTCAGTGCATGCTCAGCATGCACAAAGTCCTGGGTTCAATCACCAGTGCCTCCATTAAAAAAAAGTTTAATAAATAAACCTAATTACCACACCCTCCCCCCCCCAGATTTTTTAATTACATTCAAAGTATTTACAACCCATGAATTAAATATTAAGAAAGGCTATTGTTAATGAGTAGAACCTACCATCTTTATATGCTTATTATTTTCTTTTTTTTTTAGTTTTCTAAATTGATAATACTTCACTGGATTCAAAATTCACACGGGACCAAAGGATATGCACCAGAAAGTCTTTCCTCCAATTCCGACTTTCAGGAAGCCATCAACAGCACCAGTTTCTTGTGTTGTGACATTGACTGTTTCTTGATCTTGTACAGAGCAAGGGCTAAGGGACTAAATGGAAGAAACTGGACCTCCCAGTGGTTCACCTGTTCACTCCACCACGTCACCGCCACATGAAGGCTGTAGTCACAGCAGACTTTGGGATCCGCCCAGCCTCGCCAGGTCTCGAAGGCCTTGAGGAGAGAGTGGCCTTTGTGAGGAATGGCAAAGTCGATGATCATGGTGGTGCCTCCTGCCAGGGCAGCCTGGAATCACAAGAGGGTTTCAACAGGTTAGGCATCAATTTTCTGGTTAAGTCATTTATCTCCTTGAATGACATGCATTTGCAAGTACTTGGGCACCACTTGGACTTGACGGGTCCGGGAAATTGCACAAAAATGCTGCCTGTCCAAAAGATCTAGAGAGACATGAATAGACTGTCCATCAATTAAAGTTTGATGAATTAGAAATGCTGGAATTGCTTCTGTAAAGAGAATGGCATGTCTGATGAAATAAAAAGGACTCTGACACAAAGGAAACAGTGAGGGCTGTAAAGGAAAACCAAAATGGAAAAATGGAGAAGATTCAAAAATGTCTCTTCTCAAGAAAACTATATTCATCATTGTAAACTTCATTTCATTAGAATCAGTCATGGTCAATTGTATCTCTACCTACCCTGTGTTCCATGCAGACTCCTGGGAGACAGATTCCCACGATTTCCCACCTCACCTTCATGCCCACAACCAACTGGTGACACTTTAATCTATTCTTGATTCTCAGCTGTCCTAACCCATCTCCAATGCTCTGGTCTTGGAGTGTCAACCTTATCTAGATCTTTATGTCCCCAGTTTTGTTCCTACTTTGTTCAATACAAACCCCTTACTGCAACTAGCAGGAAGTTTCCAAGCACAAATGTGACCCCTTGGCTCCAAGACTTAAAACTGAATGCTTCTCACTGACTCTGGAATAGCGTTTAATCCTCTTCACATGGTCTACAAGGCCCTGCAAGATCTGCCTTGATCCTTCTATCTTCCTTGGCATATGACACTGTTATATTATGACTGAATTAAAAACTAAGTTATTAAATCAAATGTCTTTGACTAATTATTGAAATTGATTTTATTTAAACTAAGATTACGAGATGGTTAAGTATATTTTTAAAAAATTTTTCTTTTTTTTTTTTTTGCAAGGGGGAGGTAATTAGGTTTATTTATTTATTTGGTTTTTTTTTTTCCCAATGGAGGTAACGGGATTGAACCCAGGACCTCCTGCATGCAAAGCATGTGCTCTATCACTTGAGCTATACCCTCCCCCCGATAAAGTGTATTTTTAATTGCTATATTCAAACAATGTAGGTAAAGAAAAAACAAAGGCAGAGGTATATTAGTGCACTGGTTAAAGGCACCAACCAAAGAGGCGTATTGGTTCCAGGCACAACTCAGATTCGGCCCTTATCAACTATGGTATTCTGAGCAATTCCTTAATTCCTTCCTTCCTTCCCTCCTCCCTCCCTTCCTCCCTCCCTTCCTTCCTTCCTTCTCTTCTTCCTTCTCTCCTTCCTTCCATTTTAATTCATTTGTTCATTCCTTCTTTGTACAGTATTGTTAACTCTACTCACCATTCTGTATTAAACTCCCAGAATATACACACAGATCATCTTACAACTGGAAGTCTGTGTCCTTTGATCAGCAACTCCCCCTTCCCCAGGCCCTGGCAACCACCATTCTACTCTTGGTTTCTTTAAGTTCAGTTTTTAGATTCCACATATAAGTGAGATCATATCATATTTGGGTTTCTCTGTCTGACTTTTTTCACTTAGCACCATGTCCTCAAGGTCCGTCCATGTTCTCACCAATGGCACGATTTCCCTCTTTCTGAATAATATTCCATTGTGTATATGCACCACATTTCCTTTATCCATTCATTCATAGGTGGACACGTTACTCATTTCCATATCTTGACTAATGTGAATAATCCCGCAACAAACATGGGAGTGCAGAGAGCAATTTCTTCACCTCTGTGTGCCTTTGATTCCTTACCTGTAAACTCAGGACAATAACGGAACCGAAACCATAGGGTGGTTAGGAGGATTAAACTGAGATCATGTATATAAAGTGCTTAATACCATGTCTGACTCATAGTAAGTGCTTATAAGGTTCACCTCATAATGCATGATGAGCTTTTGTATCACTGCTTTAGAATTAGGCATTTTCCCACTTTTCATAGGGAAGCTCATCTCACCACCAAAACGTGGTCATGTTACAACAAGGAAGAGAGTGCCACCAGCTTCTCCGCCAGGTCTGTGCCCCCACCCCCTCCCCTCACTGCCCCCCAGACATACCGAGGGCTCCCAGGTCCCCACTACTACACTAGCGCTATTCTCTCTCCTTGTTCTTGCTTATCAGTAAGATTTTTATTTTTCCTTAAGTCACTTGCTCCAGTTCAACACTTTTTGCTCTCAAAAATCTCACTTTTTATACTGGATCGCTATCTTCAGATAACAGTTGCCTTATTCATGGTAAAACAGTACATATTTGCATTTCTTAAGAAATCCCTGTTGGTATAATGACAATACCAGAAAAAATTCCTCTGGCTCCATATTTTTATTTGAACGCAGATTAATCTTCCCACCTTCTTCCTTCTAAACCGTCTTCCCACGGATATCCCTTGAGGAGGAAGGGTATTGTTCTAATAGAAAGTGCTGTTAATTTAAGTGTTAGAAGAAAGTCCTTTTTTTAGTGTCTACTGAACCAGAAAATCAAGCTTAAAGAACAATTCTCTCCATATTAAAAGTTTATCGCATGCAGGATGTGGGGAAGCTAGATACTGCTGATGGAAATATAAATCAAGTGGTGCAGCCACTTGGGAAAATAGCTGGCAGTTCCTCAAAGAGTTACCATATGACTCAGCAATCCCCCTCCTGGGTGGACACCCAGGGGAAATGAAAACATGTCCACACAAAGACGTGTGCAAAATATCCAGAGCAGCATCTTCCGTAATGATCAAGAAGAGGCAGCAACCCAAATGTCCATCTACAGATGAAAGGATAAAAAAAGTGTTACAGTCATACAACTGGATATCATTTGGCCAAAACAAGGAATGAAGTTCTGATACATGCTACAACTTGGATGAACCTTGAAAACATGACAAGTAGTGAAAGAAGCCAATCACAAAAAAATCACATATTATGTGGTCCCACTATATGAAAGGTCCAGAAGAGACAAATCCATGGAGACAGCAAGTGAAACAGCAGTTGTGGGGCTGGGGCGGGGTGGTGCTGGGGAAATTTGGGGTGATAGCTAAAGGGTATGGGGCTTTTTTTCGGGGAGAGAAAAATATTCCAGAATTGATTGCAGGGATGGTTGCACAACTCTGGGAATATACTAAAAAACCACTGAGCTGTACATTTTAAATAGATGAATGGTACTGCATGTGAATTACATCTTAACATAATTATTACAAAAAAAGGCTACCACATATAAGCCATTACATGGAGTGAGTGGGGTGGAAGGACACACAAAAAATCAAAGATTCTGCCCTTGAGGTGTTTATAGTCTAGGGGGAAGACAGAAATGTGCACCAACGATTATAGTAAAATACTCAGAGTGTAATAACAAGAAGCAAGTGTATTTCCATAGTTAATATAGTATAGAAATTGCTAAAGGGAAGTAAAAATTGCTGTGCTCCCTAGAAGAGGTGCAGGGAGAAGACTCCTGGGAATTCAGAGGAGGGAAACAGATCAGAGGAGGCTGGGATTTGAATCAGCATTAGGACGTCCACGTGAAGTTGCTAATAAGGATAATTACATCTAACTTTCAGTACGTGCCTATTATGTGCCAGGAACTATTCTGACGTTCTAAGTGTTTTAACCCCCTCACTGGCTCTGTGGCAGGTAGTATTGTTACTTCCATTTTAGAGTCGAGGAAACTGAGAACAGCACCATTAAATAGCCCCCAAACCTCACAGCCAGCGAACGGCAAGGGTAGGGCTGGAACCAGGTCCTCAGGTTGCACGGCCTTTGCTTTCAGGGACAGCCAACAACAGGGGGGAGTGCAGAAAAAGGCCCGGGAGGAAGAATTGGCAGAAAAGTGGGAAAGAGCAGAATGTATATGCAGAACAGGAACAGACTCACAGAGAGAACAAACTTGCGGTTACCAAAGGAGAGAAGGAAGGGCGAGGGACAAATTAGGGGTATGGGATGAAGAGATACAAACTACTAGGTATAAAATAGATTAGCTAGAAGGATATGCTGTAGAGCACAGGAAATTATAGCCATTATCTTGCAATAACCCATAATGGAGTTAATTTGCAAAAATACTGAATCACTATGCTGTACACCTGAAACTAATGTAATACTGTAAATCAACTACACTTCAGTTAAAACAGAAAAGATGACTTGGGACATGTGGAATGATGGTTCCCAGAGGAAGGCAGGGCAGTGGCTGTCTGCAGGGTGACAGGAGAGCGTGGGGTGACTGAGAGGGTGGCAGACGAGGGGACGGGGGTGGGCAGCAGATCTGGCGTTCAGAGGGGCGTGATCTCTGTGCAGAGCGCCCTGAGTGTGAGGTGCTTGGGCACATGTCCACTTTGGGTATTTGCAGATGGAGAGAAACACAGCCCTGAGGCTAAAGAGCACTCAAGGGCAGGAGAAAGACGTGGCAGTCACCTTGGAGAGGATGCCAGAGGGGTCCTGAGGTCACTGGAAATGACTACAGAGAGAGACATAAGACTTGATAACATGAACCACAGTAACACATTCTGGAACATTCCAACACTCAGCAAGGAAACAGACCTACTGAGCCAGGATGGAACATTGACAGGGGCTGCTTCTGGGAGGTGTGCTTACAGGTCATTTTAATTTTCCTCTAGTTAAATTTTATTTTTCAGTTATTGCTAAATTTTCTTTTCTTTTTTAAAAACAGTTTTATTTATTTTATTATTGTATTTTTTAATTTTGGCGGGGCAAGTAGGAAGGGAGATAATTAAGTTTAGTTTTAGAGGAGGTCCCAAGGAGTGAACACAGGATCTTGTGCATGCTAAGCATGCGCTCAACCACTTGAGTTATACCTTCCCCTCCATTGCTAAATTTTCTATAACAAAGCATAACCTTTATAAGAGGGAAAAAATAAAAATTTTTCCATATTATATGACACAAATATATATACATATGTATATATATACATATATATGATATAAATCAATGTATGCCATATAAATTAGTAGATGGACTTTGATGAGCTTCTTATGAGACAGAAGATGTGATGGT